GAGAGAGAGAAAGTGAGAAAGCAAGTTGTCAGGTCCAGGACTTGAACCATGGTCGGCCATGTGGGAGTCCAGCTTCTCCAACCAACACACCACCTACAGGCCCCGTTATTGTTTTATTATTATTATTATTATTATGTGTTTTTTAAACAGTCACTCGCTATACATCATTTGGCATGTAAAGAGAATTTACCTAACATGAAATACTTCTAAGACCAGTCCAGTTGAGAATACTATACATATTATCACCAACAGGTAATAAACCATTCCTGTCTCCCACAAATGTCATGCAAGGATATGGGATCTTCAACGGATCTGTAAGAGGGAGGCAGGGAGCCCTGGATGGGAGTGCTGCTGGGGTGGGCGCCGCCCTCTGCTTCCCTTCCTGCACTGCTATCTACTCCCTGGGGGTAAGAGCCAATCCACAGGAATTTCCACATGAAGCAGGTAGGGGATGGCCTGACACACTGGCTGTCTCTCTCCCTCAAGAAGTTAAAGGGTCACTTCCTACGAATGGTGATGGGTGCACAACTTACACATGAGATGAAATGGCATAAAAATAACACACACACACACACACACACACACACACGAGTGCAAGTAAAACTGGGGAACCTGAGCAAGGTAGATTGAATCCATATCCATATTTTAAATAACTAGCATCCTGGTTATAGTTTGGTACAATACAGTTTTGCAACACATTGTTGTTGGGGAAAACTGTAAATTTAGGGTAGACGGGAGTTATCTGTTATTTCCTACAACCACTTGCGAATCTACAAAGTTAAAAGTTTAATTTGAAAAAGCTGGTGGTGGGTTTCTCTGCCTGAACATGCATCATTGTCCTGTCTCCCACCATGCCTACATGGGGCAGTTGATGGTCGCCCCGTGCAGCCCCAGGACATGCCGAGACCCTAATCTGTGGCAGCCGCACTTTAGCCTTTCTCAGATGGGGTGAGCAGCTGTCGTGAGAACAGGGAGCAATCCGTGGAGCTGAGCTGCTTATTGTGAGCTTCCACTCTGGCGACGGCAGAGGGAATTCATGCTCTTTCTTGGGAGGTGCTGAGCTGTGGGTACGGGATACCCTCTCCTTGTTGGCTGATGTGGGGATGAACCTGTGACAGCAACCCAAAGCTGGCTAGCACCTCTGTCCCTTCAACTCAGGGGCCATGAGTCTCCATGAGAGGCCCCCACCCAGGCGGCACCCAGGAATGAATGAGCGACCCGCCTCCACTCTGTGGGCAACTTTCCTAATTACACAGAGCTGAAAGTATGTCACCGTTTGGCTTACTTCCTCCTTCTCTGGCCCTTAAGGGTGAGAAGAATTTCATATTTGCATGCTCTTTAAGCACATTCTTCCACTCTCTATCTTGCCATTGGAAAAAAGCAGCGCTTCATGGTGGAGGAGCTCGCGTGACTGAGTGCGCCGTCTACAGCAAAGAAGTTCCTCATGCCGTCTAAAGAGAACAGACGCTGCTGCCTGGGATTGTTGGAAAGAAAAGGAAGTGAGCAAAGGGCTGAACCCTGGGTGGATGTCTGGCTAACATTACCAAATTTAGGAGCCCTTTTCTAGGTTTAAAATAATAGCAGCAACAGCAAAATGGCTGATGCTGTTGATGGTTAGAAGATGGAGAAGTTCGTATGTTGACATTCATCCACCTCTGTGATACAGTGTGAAGCAGGGCTGACACAGATGAGATCCTGCCCGTTCAAAACGTTCTTTTGGGTCCTTATCTCAGGCTCGTGTGCCTTCAGAATCCTCATCAGTTCCTCCCAGGAGGAGCATATTAAAGGTAGCTTCTCATCATGGCTCCGCTACAGCCCCACATCAGGGAAGACTCAGAAGGCTATAGAGAGAAGCAGACCAAGGTCTGAGGGGCTTGGAGGATTTGAGACCCTCAAACTTCTCCACAAGGTGCAGCAACCTCCAGGAAACTCAATGGTGTGGATTTAGGACCCCAGAGAGCGAGCCCCTCCTTCCCTCCCTCTTACATCCCCACACTGGGAAGGACCTCAGAGAATGCTTGTTGAATGAATGAATACATTCATGAATGAGTGATGCTTGTCTCCAACCTAATTACCAGAAGGCTACAAAAATATTTCTGAAGGAATCCCCTGTTAGAGAAGAATTCTCAGGCAGTACTTCTCCTTAGAATGGGAAACTCATTCCACAGCAGTGTTTCACAATTTCTTTTTCCTCTTCCTCCTCCTCCTCCTCCTTTTCAGTTTTTGCTAGAGGTTGCATGCACTTGCTGGAGAGAGATAAGAAAGTGAGAAAGCATCCCATCGGGGATGGTCACGCCACAACCTTTTTCCATCTCTTTCTCCTTTTTGGGATTTTGGTTATGCATATACATAAGCCCAGCATGTTTTTCAAGCCACCAGGGCCAGAGAGAGCGAGCCCCTCCTTCCCTCCCTCTTACATCCCCACACTGGGAAGGACCTCAGAGAATGCTTGTTGAATGAATGAATACATTCATGAATGAGTGATGCTTGTCTCCAACCTAATTACCAGAAGGCTACAAAAATATTTCTGAAGGAATCCCCTGTTAGAGAAGAATTCTCAGGCAGTACTTCTCCTTAGAATGGGAAACTCATTCCACAGCAGTGTTTCACAATTTCTTTTTCCTCTTCCTCCTCCTCCTTTTCAGTTTTTGCTAGAGGTTGCATGCACTTGCTGGAGAGAGATAAGAAAGTGAGAAAGCATCCCATCGGGGATGGTCACGCCACAACCTTTTTCCATCTCTTTCTCCTTTTTGGGATTTTGGTTATGCATATACATAAGCCCAGCATGTTTTTCAAGCCACCAGGGCCAGGGCTGAACCTTGAGGTCAGCCATATGGCATCCAGCCACCCTAACCACCACATCAAGGGCTAGCCTGCAATGTTTCCTTAAAAAAAAAAAAGTAGAAAGAATAAGTCCATGGGCAGAACACATTACTAGTTCTGGCTGGTGTTCAGGAGGCCTCTGGCTGATGAACTTTTGAGGGGAGTAAACCCACGTCTTCCAACCTCTCACCTCCTAGCAGTGATTCCTGGGTGTTCTTTCCAAGGGCTCCACACTGTGAACTTGCTACAAATGCTGACCATGTCCCACGTGCGGTAACAGAGAAGAGCCTTAGGTAACTGCCACCTGGGTAAAAGTGACGACTTGACTTAGAACCTTCCTGTGACTTTAATTTTAGAACTTTTAAGAGACCCATGGGTCTTCGAGGCCTTTTTTTTTTTTTAATCTTCCTACCCCCCCCCTGCCAGTCTGGAAGTGGAGCCTGGGAGTCTGTGTGGTTATCTGAAGGACATTCCAGCAGAAAGTTATTCATACTCCACAAACTCAGCTGCAGCTGAGGCCAAGGTGACGTTCCCACCTGAGACACCCAAGCCTGCACGTGCCCACCTACAGGAGCCTTGGGGATAAGACTTTGTTTCTGTGCCGACTGGCCTTTCACCTCCCTGATGCTCCACAAAAATCTGTCTTCTGATTGTTGCTGACAGTAAAAACGACAGTGTGTCACATGTATTCTAGGTATCTGTTAGGATGATGAAAAGTCATAACACATTTTTGCATAGAAAAAATTAGTCATAACTTTTCAGGCAACCCAACATAGGGGCCCAACATTCTCTGGGTAGAAAATAAAACCTTATGCTTCAGCCATCAGTCTGTTACAGCCACTCTTTGTGCTCCAAATCTGATATGTTAAAGCTTGCTGCAAATTCTTGACTGTATTTTCCAGGGAAAAAAAGGGAGTCTAACTGTCCTCCCCTTGAAGCTAGGCTGGTCTCAGTTACTCGGTGGACCAACTACATGGGGCAGAAATGACATTGTGAACATGCAAGCCTAGGTTGTGAGAATCCTTGCAGCTTCTACAACAGCCTCTTGGAGCTTTGTTCTTGGATGCTCTTCCTAGAGCCCAGCGATCCATGCTCTGAGTTGTGCATTTGATATGGCACCAGTCAGTAGCAGCCCCGACCTGCCACGATCAAGGGTGAGTCCTGAGCATCAGCCCAGTTGAGTCTTCAGATGACACCATATGACTGCAACTGCAGTGGACACCCAATCAAGCTCCACCCAGCGGAGCCCAGTCAACCCCCAGAATTGAGTGAGAGTGACAAGTTGAGGGTTTAAGTCACTGACGTTGGGAATGGCTTATCTGTTCTTATCCCTTATCACCACTGGTATCACATAAATAAACAGAGCCTCTTCCTCGCATGGACAGTGAGCAACACGGAGGAGGCTGTGCCAGCCACTCTACCACCAATGAGAAGGGCGCCAAGAGCAAAGTGCTGGCTGCAAACACAGATATCTTTTGTTGCTCCAGGTTTTATATTCATTGATAGGAAACTGGTGCTTACAGGCTGAATCTGGCCCAGAGACTAATTTGTATTGGCCTGCACAATTTTT